GCTACTTATAACCAAGCGATGTAATCCCACCTATAATGCCCCCGACTGGCCTATTACATAATTAGGCTACCCCAATTATACGCAAGCTTATATGAACTCCAACTGTATGTATAGCTACTAAGTTACTAAGTCCAATGAACCCTGAACGCCTAAAGCCTAAGCCCGAAAACGCTTTAAAGCCCTAACCCTAAACCCTAAACCCTAAACCCCCTAAACCCCTAAACCCTAAACCCCTAAACCCTAAACCCCTAAACCCTTGCAACCGTGGGCCTTTTCCGATACCTCGGGAGGCGCCGGTGACCACGCAGACTTGGCCGGACAAGCGCTTGGACTCCTCGAGGCTTGCTTTGGGTTTAGGGATTTAGGGTTTAGGGTTTAGGGTTTAGGGTGTAGGGTTTAGGGTTTAGGATTTAGGGTTTAGGGGTTTAGGGTTTTGGGGTTGTTATATGGGTTATATTGGGATAGTGGAAAAGAAAATGGAAGCTACTACAATGGGTTGTATAGGGTTTTGGGTTTAGGGGTTTGAAGTTCAGCATGTCAGGATTTAGAGGTAAAGACTATCAGGGCTGAGGACTTAGGGTTTGTGTGTTGGAGCCCAGGTTTAGGATGGGGTTAGGGCTTGGAGTTTCAAGGGGTAGGTATTGGAGGTTGGGGATGGTTAGGTGGGGGAATACTTCCCCCACGCTCCCTGTACCCCTTGTTACAAGTAGCCACCAAACTCGATACTTGAATCTGGCGAAGTGGCCTCTCCCCTCGGACTATTGGAAATTTTGAAAGGAGATTTCCCCCAAAGTAGGAACCCTCTTTGGGTGGGATCCCTACAAGGAATATTGCTCCTTAGCTCTCATAAATGTTTCCCTCTCCCTGCCAGGGCAGATCACTGAACCGTAAACCCTAAACCCCAGCACTAGCATGGAGAGCTTGACCATATGGAGAAGGGGATTACAATGAACGACTGATGAGTTTGCAAAGCGGGCCATGCACAACCCAAACTAACATGGAACCCTGCAAAGGCCCCAAACCCGAAACCCTATAGGGCTGTAGGTCTTTACAGGTCCCATTTGCAGGTATCTTGGACCCCCCCAAATAGACGTCTTAACAGCCTTTAAGCCCCAAAATATCCCAAAATCATACAAACATAGGCTATTGTCATCTGTATTGGGGCAGTATGGGTTCCTGTTTCTCTCGGGAACCTAGCAGCCCAAAGTAGGCATAGGGGCCTAAAGTACCATAGGTTAGGGTTTAGGGTTTAGGGTATAGGGTTGAACCTGTAAAGCCGAACAACAAATTCATGCCCGCACGAACACAAAGAAACCAGAAGGAGCTCTGCTTGTCACGCGGAAGGGGACTTGTCCTGCGTGCCGACCATGCGCTGGATGCCAACGAAAGGCCTCAACGTGGAGCAACGGGTTTTCGTAAGCTTCTACCGAATGTTCTACAGCCCTATCATGGATTGAAGACACCTGAAGGGTACTTTTCAAGGTGTCTTACACCGGGTCATACTAAACTCCCTGCGGATCGTGAAGCCATCTGAGACATTGCTGGTGGGCAACACATCATGGTCCTCGTTGATTGGCATCTGTGCAGTCTCTTTTTTCAATACATGTTGTATAAACACGAGTCACGTTTTAGGTAAGCAATTATTGTGAGACAGCAGTGTTATCTAAAGTAATGGTTCTCGCCTGACTAAATCAGGTTTATCCGTGCCTGGGTCTTGGCATGCGTGTGGGTGAAGACCAACAGGGGTTTAGGGTTAGGGTAAAGGGGTTGAAGGCCCAGGGTTAAGGGGGGTTTACGGCTAAGGGCTTAGGCTTAGGGTTAAGGGGCTTAGGATTTGATGGCTTTGCGCCGGGTCGACGATGCTGCATCCAACGCCCTGAACCGTGACTGAAGGATTCGCCATCTTCTTGACTCTGCCTGCTTGGTTGCATGGCGGTTTTCCAGAAGAAAGGCTTTGCCAAAAAGTATACCAAGACCAACAAGCTAAAAAAAGGGAAATCCTAAATCCTGAATCTTAAGCCTGGAGCCATAACCGCTCTAAATCCCAAGCCATAAACTCCAATACACCTTCCACTGGATTCCGTTCTTGAAACGGTTCCCAATGCAAAGCCAACTAAAGGAGGAGAACCCTTGCAACACTCCCGGGTCCGAATGTCATGCAATTCCCATCCTGTACGGCAGCGCTTGTTTTTTTTTGCAACGGCCTTTTATGTCTGCACGACATACGGATTTTAGGGTTTAGGGTTTGGAGTTTGGGGTTCAGGGTTTAGGGTTCCGGGTTCAGAGTTTAGGGTTCAGGGTTTAGGTTTACGGTAGGGGCCTACATACTTGGAATAGGGCATTTTCGGGTAAAGCGTAGCGTAAGGCTTGTTTGACTGTTGGGGGCTGATATACAATCAAAAAATTAGGCTTCAAACCCTCAACCCTACATTAGGGTACTTCAGGTGGTGCAGGATGGCTTCCGTCATTATTTTGAAGGGAAGTCACCAAATTGGACTTGCTGAAAACCCGGGTGCCCATGCGGAGATTACAAGAGGTTACCGAGGGTGTACTTGGAGGTTCATGGGACTTTGTAGTTACTTCTAGCTAAGGTTTTCAACCTACTGATACTGGGGGTAACCCCCTCTGGGGCCACTTGGGGGGATTATGAGTAAGGGTACAATAAGCCCTCCAAGTAAGGTTTAGGGTTCCCCGCGAAGGACTACACAGGCAATGTTTGTTAGGCGGAGGCTACCAACATAAAGCTGGTCCAAGGTACTGTGCTTGACAGGTACCAGGTGCTGACACACCGGGAACGCAGTGATCCAAAGCCTGCGCTACAAAGCGGCTTGATATGATTATACATCCCAGTCTGTGATTAGGTATGGGCTGGGAAAGTATTTCTAATGAGGGGCACACATTGACATTTCATTGCCAACCAGGAGACCATGTTCACTAACATATAGCCATCTTATGGTAACTCAACAGCAATCAAAATACAGGGCACGTAGGGATGATGAAGCAGGTGGAATGCACAAAGCCCTGCTAGGGTTTAGGGTTTAGCGCGCATGGATGCTGCCCAGCACCCTATAACAGTCCACGAAAAACCAAGCTGTAGTAATGATACACCTTTAATGAGGGTCCTATATTGAAATTTCCATAATAGGGAACCCTGATATCGACTGCGAAATGCTATATTCACTATATTCCTTCTTGTACGGACCCCCGAAAAGGGACCCCCTTTTTCGGAAACCCTCATGTGACCGTTACAGGACGCGGGCAATATGCAACCCTTACATCAAACGCGTGGGAAAGCTTTCCATGCCTCCCCCTGGCTACTCATAGTCATGTCACTTAGGGTGTGGGTTTTAGGGTGCATGGTTTAATGGTGGGGAGCAAATGTAAAGGTTGTAGGCACGAGGATACTATAGTTAATTTTCTAGGCGTTCATTCTTCTTCGTGCCCATGAAGCACCAATAAGTTGTAGCGAGACCAGAGACGACCCCGACAATTGCCAACAGGAAAACCAATCATTCCGAAGTGGGATGGGTAGAATGTGGGGTTTAGGGCCCCGCACCCTTAACCCTAAACCCTAAAACCTCAAACCCTTACTACAAGAAAATTAATGGTAAATATATTTGGGGCCTTTTAGAATCCTCCTGCACCACTACTAGCGGATGATGGGGGTCCTGCTGAGCTAGAACGTGCTCCATGAAGCTACTTCGTAGGTTATCTATTTTCGCCGAGGACTTATTACTTGGTCGCAGTAGGGGTAATGTGGGGTTCTGATTAGTAAGCCACCCCTCCCCTCCCCCCAAACAAGTAAGGCTCTGAATAATCCGGGGGTCCCCAATCAAATTCGTTCGGGAAAAGTTGTTTGGGGGGGATCCCAGAACAACCCATACACCCTACGCCCTAAGCCCCCAGGCCTAAGGCTGGGGACATATTTGCAACTAAAATATTAATGAATCCCTTCCCCCTATATTAAAACCAACCCTAATATGTAAACTCTAATTAAATTTCAATTGATCTGACATGGATTTTGATTCGATGCCGATTGCTTTTACAAGGAGTCTAAATTACATTTCAATCGATTTCAAAGGGAGTTTAATTTGATTTGAATTGATTTCAAAAGGAGCTTAAATTAGATTTCAAGCGGTTTCAAGTGGAGTTTATTTCGATTTCGATTAGCTTTTAATAGAATTCTAATTAAACAATGCAATTGATTTGACAGAGAAATCAAATGAGATTTCAATCGATTTCGAACGG